CTCTAACAGCAGACTTTCCCATGGCAATAGGTCTTTTAATTTCCTGGCTACTGGTGCCGAGAGTGTTGACTGTGGAGCCAAGCTGTGAACAACCTCAATCTCTTCACCATCCATCCTGATGCTGCCAATTGTTCCAGTGGTGAGAATCTTTGTCTTCTCGACAATGGACAAATGGATGTCAGAAGAGACTCTGAAAATTGCACTGGAGTGCAGAGAAAAAGCAGAAGGAAGAATTCAAGATACTAAAGATTTGAATAGAAGATTTCAAAAGGCAGAACGGGATGATAAAGTAAAATATTACAATGAAATGTACAAGGAGTTGGAGCCAGAAAATCAGAACGGCCAAACTCGCTCAGTATTTCTTAAGTTCAAGGAACTGAAGAATAAATTCAAACCTCGAGTTGCTATAATCAAGGATGTTTAGGCAGAATATTCAATGATCCAGGAAGTATTAAAAGAAGGTGTAAAGAATATACGGAATCACTGTATCAAAAGGAATTAGCAGACAAAGAATAATTTCATGAAACAACATATGAGCAAAAGCCTATAGTGATGAAGGAAGAAGTTCAAGCTGCTTTGAAGGAAATGGCAAAAAATAAGGTTCCAGGAATAGATGGTATACCAATTGACATATTTCAGCTAACAGATGCTGCCTTGGATGTGCTCACCAAGTTGTGCCAAGAAATCTGAAGAACAACCACTTGACCAACTGACTGGAATAGATCTATATTTGTTCCCATCCCAAATAAGGGTGACCAAACAGAGTGTGGAAACTATAGAACAATCTCATTGATTTCACATGCAAGCAAGATCCTACTGAAGATTATCCAAAAACAACTGGAACAGCACATCAGCAGAGAACTGCCAGAAGTCCACGCTCAGTTTAGAAGGGGTCGTGGTACTGGGGATACTGTAGCTAATGGTAGATGGATCTTAGCTGAAAGCAGGGAATACCAGAGGAATGTATAACTGTGTTTCATTGATTATGCAAATGTGTTTGGCTATGTGGATCATAACAAACCGTGGT